TTATTTTTAACCTAAAAAATTAAAGTTTACAAATAATAAAAGCTAACACTTTTTTCATCAGTCTTTGTGTGTTAATCTTTTTAATGTTTTCGGTAACTTAACGAAAAAGTTCTATCACCATCTGATAGGGGTTGTATACTTTCCCAAGATCTCATAGCTAATAAGATGCTGAGGCAAGATTTGAATCAGTCTAGCACCAGGAGTTCTCAAACTTTCATGTGCGTTGGAATCATCCAGAGGGCTTTTTAAAACACAGATTGCTGGGCCCCACCCCCAGAGTTCCTGGTCACTACGTCTAGGCTGGGGCCTGAGAATCTGCATTTTTAATATGTTTCCAGGGGGTGCTGAGGCAGCTGGTCTGGGGACCACACTTTGAGGACCACTGATCTAGGCTATTTTACCACTAAAGGAACTTGGTGAAGTTTGCGACTCTGCAAGTATGAAATATTCAGATTGACCCTCACTTGCTCAGGATGTCTGATAGCCTCGAGTCTCCTTGCTTTGAAAGGTGTCTGTTGTAGTTTGGATGTTTGTCCCCTCCAAATCTCATGTTGAAATTTGATCCCCAAGGTTGGATGAGAGGCTTAACAGGAGGTGTTGGGGTCCTGGGGATCAGATCGCACATGAATAGCTTAATGCCCTTCCTGGTGGGGGATAGTGAGTGAGTTCCCCACTCTATTAATTCCTGAAAGAGCTGGTTATTAAAAAGAGCCTGGCACCTCCTCGGTCCCTCTCTCGCTTCCTCTCTCACCACGTGATCTCTGCACACTCTGGCTCCCCTTTGCCTTCCACCGTGAGTGGCAGCAGCCTGAAGCCGTCACCAGATGCCCAATCTTTAAGTCAGTAGAATTGGGAGTCAAATAAAACTTCTTTTTTCTCCATAAATTACCCAGCCTCAAATATTCCATTATAGCAACACAAAATGTACTAAGACAGTGTCCTTAGGAAATACTGGGGCCACTCTGAAGGGTTTGATATGTGTTTCTCTATATTTGTCACGTTGCAACTAATGACAGGGTTTTTAAAACATTTTAACTCTTATGGAAAATTTTAAGCATCCACAAAAGCGGAGAGAACAGCATGGTGAACCCATGTACCCATCTCCAAGCTTTGATAATTGTCACATAAATGCAATCTTGTTTTTACTATCCTTCTCCACTTTTTCTCTTTTTTTTCTGGCATAAAGCAAAACCCGGATATCACATCATTTCAACGTGTTTCTCTAAAAGATAGGGTCTTAAAAAAAATCTATCATGTTTTTATCACATCTAACAAAATTAACAACAATTTCTGTATATCACATGATATTCATGCTATATTCAGAGATTTCCTGATTGTCTCAAAAATGTCTTTTTAGAATTGGCAGGTTGGAATAATCAATTCCAGTTTGCATGGACTGGATTAGATTGAGAGTATTGACAGGTTACATTACCTAGGTTTAATTCAACTAACCTTCACGAAATGGACTAATGGCTTAAAAGACTTCTGCAAAAAAGCATAGATTGGAGGCAAAACAATAATGGCAGCCAAGTGAGAAAAAAGGAAAGAGCAGAGTGATACTTCTCCTTGTGCAAGTTCTTTGTAAGTCACATTCGAGGGTGAAAAAACAAAGTCAATCTAATCAGATTTGACAAGTCACCCAAGACAACTGGAAATTATCAAGAACACTCCGAGGAGTAGATTTGCATCTACTATTGTCAGTGGTAACAATGGACCTTGCCTGGAGATTGACACCATTATGATTAGTAACTTGAAAATATTATACATTTCATTTTGGTCTCTTTTGAATTTTCTAATTCGTGTGTATGTATTATAATGTACAAAATATATTAATGCAGTAGTACTTCAGTATATAAATGGGGTGCATGCTCAAAAAATGGCACGTGCACAATCAGAAGTTTGAAGCCCTCTGGTCAATACTACACTACAACCTCCACACTGATCTCATTCCTCAAGTCATGCTCCCTTCCGCCACCCCCTACACCAGCCCTGGCACGGCTTTCCCCATAACCCAAACCCAAACTTGTCACACTCCTTCTTCCCCTCAGGTCAGCAGAATAAAGGCCAAACTTCTTACTCAACCCAGCAGGTCCACCACACCCTGCTTCCCTCTTTCGGCTCCAGGAACAGAGCAATGTTAAGCCCCAGTCAACATCGTCACTCCAGTGTGTGCTCACAGTGGCTCCCACTGTGCTCCCACTCTGGACGGCCCTCTTTCTTCCCACGGGTAATTCCTACTGAGCCTTCAAGACCTCACTGGGCAGTCACCTCCCTCCAGAACCCTTCCCTGACACCATCATCTCCCCTGCCTGGGGCACGGGCTCTCCTCCGTGCTTCCATGTAAAGCGAGTTTCCAAGGACATTACATACCTATGCTAGCAGCACAGTGCAGGGCTGAAGAACACAGACCCTGGAGCCAATCTACACTATACATAGTAGCTCCTATACCCACTAGTTATAAGATGAATGACTCGACTCCATTGTAAAATGGGGCCATGATGCAGAATGGCTAAGCACATGGAAACTGTAAGTAGGATGCCTAAATTTAAGGCTGCAGTGCTCTTGCTGGCTGAGAGACCCTGGGCAAATCACTGTGCCTAGTTTCCTCATATGAAAAACGGAGATTGTAATAGTACCCACCTCACAGAGTTGTTGTGAGGGTTCAAGGTAAGGCATTTAGGATAGTGCCTGGTACATAGTAAGTGGTCAAGTAAATAGCAGCTCCAATCATCACGTGTCTGGACCCCACATTGGATGTAATAAATGGCTGAATGAATGAATGAATTGGATTGGATTGGATTGAAAAGTATTAAAGTAAATCGAACTGAACTAAAATCTCACTTGTCTGGTGCTGAAGGCCCGTCTCTGGGCCAACCCCTTGAGTGGTGTAGGTGCTTCCCTCCTGAGTCATCTGTCCTACTCGCCACGGCCATGGGCCCCAGGATGCCTTCCCTTTGCTTCCGGCTAACTAGTCAGTTAAGGTCACTTAGGAACAAACAAGCACTCACCAGGCTTAAGCTTCAACTCTGTCTCAGGGACGTCTCTCAAGGAGGCCCATCCATTATCATAAACAACGTATCGGCCCACAGAGATGCTTGAAATTCATCTTAATTTTTCAAAAAAAAAGCAAAGTCACACCACGGTGGACATCTGTCTTGTTTACAGTTGTCTCATCACGGTCTGGGAATATTTTTAGCTGAATATAAAATACCCACCATCCTCTCCTCCCTTGCGGCTGTACCTTCTGGCTCTGGAGTTCCAGACAGCACGCAGACTGCCCAGCCCTAAGGGAGGAGGCTGGGGTGTGGGCTGGGGGGAGGCAAGCGACAGGCTAAAGCTTCCAAAAAAAAGGTGGGATAGAAATGAGCAAGAAAGACCAAAAAAAGGAAATAAAAGACAAAAACCCAACAACATGAAATTCCTTGCCACTAAGGAGGGAGAAGTAGGGAAAGCATAGAGAGAATTATGAAGACTGTTTGGCACAGGGAATTCAGGGAATGCTGAAAAGGATGCCTCTCACTCTGCTTTGACAAATCAAGGAAGGCTTCATGGAAGAGGTGATGCCCAGGCTGCTCCTAATGGAGAGCCCGCATTGTTCGCTGGGTCTTGGCGCAGTCTGTGGAGAAGACTGGGGCATGCCTTTCCTTGGAGATTTTGTGGAAATGAACATCCGTGCCCCTGGAGAACCACAGTCCTCCCCCAGCCCCGGCCCTGCTATTTGCCTCTGTGACCACTTTTCCAGGGCACTCTCACCTCGATAGGTCTCCCTGAGCGTCTTCTGATTCTTCGAGGACGTGTCATAGGAGGTGTAAAAAAAGAAGATGAAAATGAAAGTTGCCTCCAGCATTAAGGCCCACCGGGGCAGGCAGACCTGGAGAGACGGCGGGTACTTGGAGCCCATCCTGTGGCTGCCTCTGTGCAGGGGTTCCGCTAACACCAGGCCTCACCCCTCTCCTCCGCACCTACTTGAGGGAGCGATAGGGGAGACACCCGCCGAAGGCCTTATCTCAGACTGCAAGGCTGGCCCTGCTGGCCTGTCTGTGCAGTTAACACGGGAGCAGAGGGAGTAGGATGGGGAGGGGGAAGACATGCATGTATTCCAACATTCATTCATTCATCTAACAAGCAGGTGCTGCGTTCCTGCTACAGGTCTCCACTGTGCTCAGTTTTAAAAAGGGTATTCTATTCCCTCAACACCCACACAATCCTTCTTTACCCATTCCTTTAGTTCATCTTCACCGAATCCTTGTAAGAAAAGCAGGAAATGGATCAACACTCTATGAATGGGGAAACTGAGGCTCAGAGGGGGCTTTCTTTTTAAAACTTTACCACATGACAGGGCACGCAGTGAGCTCTTAACAATGTGCTGAATGAGAATGAATGAATAAAGAAGGAAGGAATGAAAGGAAAACAAGAAGGATATCCTGGGAAGGATACAGATAGGACCCACACAGAACTGACTCCTCAGTTCTGAATTTGCATTTACACCTACTTGTTTCTAAGCATTTTGAGGGCAGGTGGGCAAGAGAAAGAAGGCCTGGATTTGGCTCTAGTAAAAACCTGGAGGGGGCGCTGATCCAGCCCCAGGCTGCAGCTGCTCCTACCTCTGGTCACCTCCTCACACAGCAGCCCAGGACTCTCCCTGGGGTATGAGCACTACAGTGCATCTGAGGAAGGCCACCAGCCTCAGCATCCCCATCCCACAGTAGGGGACAGTCCCCTGGCATGGGATTTAGGGCCTGGGATCTACTTCTGACCCTGCAGCCAACTTTCCCTGTGGCCCCAATCCACGTGCCTAGAAGAAGGTCTGGTACATAAGTGTCAAGGAAGGGAGGGAGGAAGGAAGGGACAAAAGCAGAGGAAAGAAGGAAGGGAGGAACTGAAGTTTCCGTATCTTCTATACTGGCCTCGACCCCTGGCCACTCAGTATAAACTGAATGTGTGAGGCCCCAGATAATAAAGCCAGCCTAGGAATTGCAGAGAGACAGAAAGTGGATACTTTATTGACCATTACAGCTGTCCAGTGAAATACTGTGAGGTGGTGAGCACCCTGTCACTGGAGTAATGCAAGTGGAAGCCGATGGTTACTTGTCAGAGATGTCTTCGAAACAATTCACATATGGATCACAGGAGATTTAAATAACCCAGTAGAATCTTGTCATTTTGATTTCAGGTGAAGAAACCAAGACCCGGAGAGGTCATAGCTGAAGTCATACCCAATGTCACACAGCCAGTTGGCATCAGTCACTTCTTGCTCAGTACAGCTTTATTTACAGGAGGAAAAAAAACTGAGAGTAATCTAAATGGCCAATAGCAGGGGATTTGTTAAGTAAACCACAGGACATGCAACTTGTTACCAGAAGGATGGTTCTAAACATATGCAGAAAAACCCAGAGGAGAATGGTTTTAAGGTTTATCAAAAGTTGCGCAGAGTATATGCCATTTAGTGAAAAGGCAAGTTATATAACAGTGTGTATAGTATGTTCCCACTCTTATAAAATAATAATAATATGTTAGCACAGACATAGAAAAAAGTTGGCTGCAAACCACTAACACATTGGTTACTTTTGCTTTATACATTTTCAGAGCTAGCATTTATTGAGCACTTATTGCTAGGTACTATTCTAAGTAAGCACCTTACATGTATGAACTTAGTTAATGACATCGTGAGGTGGGTACTATTAGTCTTATATTACCAATGAGTAAACCGAGGCACAGAAAGGTTAAGTGACTTGCCCAAGGTCACAGAGCTAGTAAGTAATGGAGCTGGGATTTAAACCCAGACAGTCTAACTTCAGCACCTGGGTGTTTGACCACTTAACTCTAGCCCAGATTACTTCCAAGTCTCCTTCCAATTCTAAAATTCTAGGGAAGCAGGATTCTAAACCCTCTGCTACCCCAATAGCAAATAAGGGAGAGGGTCCCCTGACCCCCAGAGGCCAGATGTCTCCATTCCCCTCATGGTTGCCTCCGGTTCTGAGTTCTGGGCTCTTTCTGGCACTCAGTACTTCTTATAAACTGGTTTCCTTAAAGAGGAACTCCCTGTATAGGGGGGTAAATGGATGGGACCCCACTGGCCTGAGCCCAGTTCTGGCTCTGTAAAGCAGGCAGCCAACTGCCCAAGGACACCGGTGATGTCAGCGAGATGAACCCTAAAGACTTCTAGGCAATGCCAACCCCTGTGCCTGGCGGTTGTGTGTACCAGTTGCCAAACTCAGTGTGGGTGGTGACTGGTTCAGCAGCACCCCAAACCCCTGCACGTCCTGATCCTGCCCCAGTGAGGAAGCAGCAGGGACTGACTGCTTGACAAGAGGGCCAAGCTCCTCGCTGAACAGAAAGGCTTTCATCAAGGAAGGGAGGTGTCCCCACAGTTGGCTTCTCCCGACAGATTTGTCAAGAGCAGTTTTTGCTCTTTCCTCTGACTCTTGCAAAATGCCCCTGTTTTCTGACCACAGTTATAGATATTCTGTCTCTAAATCTTCAAGGCAGGTCACTTGGTACAAAAAGCACAGGGGATCTTGGGTAGATATGTCAAAAACAGAATACAGTAAAGTGTTAATTATTGAATGTTGCTGAGAGGTGTATGGCTTTTTACTGTACAATTCTTTCAACTTGTTTTTTGTAGATGTTTGAAAATTTTCATAATAAAAAGCACTCTGGGCACCTGCTATTCTCTCTGCCTGAAACACTCCTCCTACCAGACTCAGGATTGTCGACTTATGATTTTTCCACTTTACGATGGTGCCAAAGTGACACACTTTCAGTAGAAACCATACTTCAAGTACTCACACAACCATTCTGCTTTCCACTTATAGTACAGTATTTGATAAATTACATGATATATGCAACACTTTATTATAAAGCAGGCTTTGTTTGACCAACTGTAGGCTAATATAAGTGTTCTGAGCACATTTAAGGCAGGCTAGGCTAAGCTACAATGCTTGGTAGGTTAGGGGTATTAAATGCATTTTCGACTTACGATGTTTTCAACTTATGACGGGTTTATCGGGACGCGGCCCCATCCTAAGCCGAGGAGCATCTGTACCTGCTTGCTCCTGCCTCACCTCCCCAGATCTTTACTCCACTGTCCCCTTCTCAGGGAAGTTTTCCCTGACTGCCCTATTTAAAAAGGCTGGATCAATCCCCATTCCCCTCCCTTTAACATGTGTTTCTTGTGCCCCCCTCTTCAGTTTTCTTCACAGCACTTACTACAGAATAGATACTGACACAGTATTTTTTTAACTTGTGTATTTGTTTATTGTCTGTATTCTCCTATAAGAATCTCAGCAAGATGAGAATAGGGACTTTTGACTGCTGTGGTCACTGTTGTATCCTCAGCGCTAGGCGCTCAGTCCATAGTAGGTGCTCAGTAAATATTTGCTGAACCAGCAGCTATGATTTCTGGCATGCCAAACACTGAAACCAACCCTTTTGCATACATTATTGCATTTCATCTTCCCCTCAGGCCTGTGAATACTGGCATTATTGCAGCTGCTTTACAGATGAGCAAACTGTTGCTCAAAGAGGTGATGTTGAGCACCCAAAGTCACACAGCTAATAAATGGCAGAGCTGGGACCCAACCCAGATCTACCTGACACCACTGCTTGTGCTGTTAACTACTTTGCAATTCTGCCTCCCAAGTTACTAAATCACCCACAGTCTCAATTTCCTTATGAGTCAAATAAGGTGATGTGCTCTGTTTTCCTCATAGGGTTATTACAAACGTGAAAATATGTCAGATGCCTGGCAACCTGAGTTAGAGAAATGAAGGTGGACAAGTGGTGCTATGACCAAAGCATTCTGGTCCGAGCAGTCAGGCTTCCTCCAAGTGTAGTAAGTCAAGTTGGAGAGCTCACAGCTTTCAGGTGTAATCATGCCTTTTTGTGAAAACAGGGCTTTATGAGAATACTTGTCACACCCTCCTCACCTGAGTCAAGCTCAGTCACAGGCAGTGACCAATGAGGTAGGAGGTTGGAAGCACGTCCACATCAAGGGTGTGATCTTGCTCTGGGCATGCCTGGCTAAAGCATGGCTAAGTCAATCATTCATTCATTTAACACACATAAGCTTTGGAGTCAGGCAACCTGGGTTCGATCCTGGCTCTGCAATTTATTAGCTATGTGTCCTTGGGTAAGACAGTCTCTCTGAGCCTGTTTCCTCATCTATAAAGTGAAGAAAATCAGAATGTCCATTTCATAGGGCTGTTGTGAAGATTAAATGAGGTCGTGCATAAAGTGTCAGATGTGTAGAAAACATTCCATAAATGTTAGCAATTCTTATTATCACAAAAGCTTGGCGTGTTTACTATAGAAAACTTTGAAAATACACAGATGCAGAAAGCTAACATAAAGCACACATGATTTCAACGTCTCCAAAAACCAGCACTACATTTTAGGTATATACACTTTCAGATGCTTTTCTATTCACATGGATTTATGCTTTTTTTCGCCCCCTACAAAAATGGGATTATACTACTCATACTGTTTGGTAACTTGCTTTTTTCATGAATAGTAGTATATCATGAGCAGTTTCCAAGCCAGGAAAATCTTGCTGTAACACTATAGCATGGTGGCTAAGAGCCCAGGCTCTGGCAGCAGACTACCTGGGTTTGAATCCCAGCTCTGTCACTTACTATGTGACCTTAGGCAAATGGCTTAACCCTGCTGTGCCACAATTTCCTCATCTGTAATATGATGCCAGTAATAATCTCTACTTCATAAGATTGTTTCAGGATTAAAACAAAATGTATATGGTACTTGGAGCAGTGACTCAATAGAAAGTGCTGTGTGTGATCATTCTCCATGATACGCTGACTTCCACCATAAGGATGCGTGATAATTTGTTTGACTAGCCCTCTTCCAAAAGTCCCTGTTGTAAATATTACAATGAACAGTCTTCAT